CAAAGAGAAAGATGAAGATAATGACAACCACATGGAGGGTACAATGCTCTAGGATATTGTCACCTTTCATGTGTGATACATTGTCATAACCTTGTACTCTCACATTATAATAAAAATCAAGTCCATGACTATGTTTAAAAAACCGACCCGATCTGGCCGGGTTGGCCCGGAATCCGGCAGAACGAACCGAAACCCGGTTTGGTTAATTAAAAACTCAGAAATGGTCAAAAACTGGAAAAACGTGTCCGGCCTGGCAAAAACCGGACCTGGAAAACCCCGGAAAAACCCGGTTTTGGTTGTTTTTCATTTTTTGAAATTTCAAAGCAGTTTTAACCAATAAAATTGCAATTTCAATACCCTAAAAAGAAAAATATATGCAATATTTACATACTACTTACTTCCTCCATTCTTTTTTAGTTGCAACAGTCAATCTTTGCACATTTGCCAACACACACATTTGTCCGTAAATATATCTTAATCTGTATTAATAAAAAAATATTAAAAATCAGATTTTGAAAATTTGTAATGAGATGAATTGAAAAATATATATTTTTAAAAATAATTTCCATAAACTAATAGTCTAAAATTAGTCAAACTAGATCATGTGAACAGTGCAAAAAGTCAACACGTTGCAATTAAAAAGAGACGGAGGATAGTATTTGTTTAAGAATAAAAATCATGTCAAATTATAGAGTATAATAAATGTCAAATAAAAATAACAAATATGGAGTGTCATTATATATTTTAATAAGATCAAAATGGTATTTTGAAATATTATGAAACTTTTTTAATTTCTAAGTGTTTGTAAATATATTTTTTTTCCCTCCGGAAGGCAAACCACCAAAATTAGTGGGGTAAATGCCGGAGAACATTTACCAGATTTTATTCAGAAGTTCCAAAACAAATTAAGAGGGGGACCAAACCAAAACCTCTCAAAAGGAAACAACAACAGAAATTACAATTAGTATGTAAAAGACGGAATGCCAAATAAATCAGAATAATAGGCTCTTTTAGCATTTTCGGGAAGGGAATACGGACTGATGAACACTGTAGTAGCCCGGCCCACATGCCCAGCAGCAAGACAGTGGGCGACTTCATTTCCTTCACGGAGAATATGTCCAATTTCCATATTATTCTGGTCCAAAAGAAGCTTGATTTCCTGAATCAGCATGCTCCATCGTCTTCCTCCATCCTCACGCACCATCTGAGTGGCCAGAGCAGAATCGGTTTCAATCTGCATCCCATCGTATCCTTCGTCCCTCGCCCAGGAGACAGCTTGTAAAATCGCACGAAGCTCGGCTTCAATCGGAGAGGAAGCTGCCAACGGGAAGCTTATCGCCTTTATCAAATCACCATTTGGACCTCGAACAACCGCTCCACCAGAAGCACCTTCAGATAAGTAGCAAGCATCAGTATTCATTTTCATTTTTCCTTTGGGTTTTCGCCAACGAAAAATTTGAATATTTCTGCCCTGATTCTTGTAATTCTTTGGAATAATATATTCCTCCCTCAGCAAGTTGACATCCTCCCACTTTTTCATATTAGGCAAGTTACGAACCCAATGTTGAGTATAATGCTTGATTTGAGAAACAATATTTTCTGTACTAGGAGGAGAAACCCCTTTCCCCCAAATGAGATTAGAGTAATCTCTCCAGATATGCCAGCATATGATTCCAGCCATATTATGCCTGAATTTATTCATCAATCCTTTAGAACCTGCCTTCATCCACCAATTTCTGAACACATGTAAGATAGTATCCTCTACAGGCCTCGGGATACCAAAAATCCCTATAAAATAATGCCAAACTGGCTTGGTGATTGAGCACTGATAAAACAAATGCTCCAGTCTGTCTGTGTGCCTTCTACAGAACACACAAATTGAGGGCTCAAGAGTCTTTTTAAATCTGCTAAGCATGTCTGTGATAGGTAAAATGCCTTTAACAATCTTCCACTGAATAAGAGAGATTTTAAGCTCCTGCTGAGAGTTCCACATATGTTTATAGGTTAGAGTGGGATCTAACTGATTTCTAACTTCATTATAAGCAGACCTGAAAGAAAATTGACCATCTTCTTCTGCATTCCAGGTGAGTCTTCCAGAGAAATCCAAAGAACACAGGGTGGAGGCCAGATCATTAATGAAACAAATCCTTCGCCAAATGACAGAGTCAGTCACTTTAGGTATCATATTCTCCCCTCTATTGTATCTTGCTTCTAAGAAATTGGCCCAAAAGGAGCTGCCATTTTTCCACTTCCACCATAATTTGAGAGAAAATGCTCTCTCAATGTCATCAAAAGATCTTATGCCAAGCCCTCCCTCATCAGTAGGATAGCATAGCCTATCCCATCTAATCCAGTGATGCTTCTTTGTATCATCAGTAGAGCCCCAAAAAAAGGCAGCCATTTTGTTATTCAGGATATTTATCACCTTCTTAGGAAGACTGTCTGCAGCTAAAATATGGAGAGGAAGAGTGTTAAGAACATGTTTAATAAGAATTAACCTCCCTCCTTGTGATAAATTCCTCTGCTTCCATGGGGAAAGTTTTTTCTCAAACTGTTTGATAATAGGGCCACAGTACTGAATTCTGTTGACTCCTTTATGTAGGTAAACCCCCAGGTACTTGATGGGCATATTTTCATGTTGCATGCCAAGAAGATCTTTAATGCTGATAATTCTACCAGGTAAAGTTCGTCCACAAACAAAGGAACTTTTTTGAAAATTAATCATCTGCCCAGAAGCAGCTTGATAATCATCCAAGAAAAGTTTAAAAGACAATAAAGATCTAGCTTCACCATTAATAAATATCAACAAATCATCAGCATAGCCTAGATGGGATACTGGGAAACCATTCATCCCCACCCAATAAGGCTTAACTCTCCCAGACTCCAAGTAGCTGTTTAAAGCCCTTGAAAAAGCCTCTGAAGCAATAATGAATAAAAAAGGGGAGAGGGGGTCTCCCTGCTTTACCCCCCTACTAGGTTTAAAAAACCCATAAGGGATCCCATTAACCAACACAGACAGATTAGTAGCTTCCAAATTATTCATAACTAGTTTGATGAACTGATTGCTAAAGCCAAATTTCATCATAATATCTGCCAAAAAGGTTTGTAAATATTATTATTAGTTGATTCTTATGAAATAACTACCTCTTATTTTAATTTTGTATGCATTTATATGTTTACTGTTATAGTTAAATGGTTGACCGGTTTTATAGCTTTGACCGGGTTGACCCGACCGGGACCGGGTTGGCCCTTGACCCAGTCTCGAGTCTTAAACATAGGTCCATGAGTCTCGATCAAGCAAACATTTAAGTTTTTTGAAAAGAGTCTCTCCTGCTGTCTCAATTACCTTCCCAAATGTAACAAAACACTCCTCTATTCGAATTGGAGTAGAAGACACGGTGACACATATTATCGAACGGGCCGGGTCTCTTGCTCCTCATGACTGATATCTAGCATGCAATCAAGAATACCAAAGAAATGCTTTGAATCTCAGACAATTTGAATTATCTTATTTTCACTTCACCTACTAACAATTGTATCACCTTGTTCCGAGTACTATGACAAGATAATAATTTTGAATCTCTTTTTTTTTTGTACCCACCTAAGGTGGTCTTCCATTATTGGGTCAAACTCTACAATCATATTGATAATCTTGAGAGAACTTCCTTTTTCCCATCTCCATTTTTGTCATCGTCTCCACGGAATGCTATATTACAAGTAGAAAGAGTTTTAATGAAGGCACTTTAGTTGCGTGTATTTCAAAATAAATTCACTACCAAGGACTAATATCGTAGTATAACATAGTAGAATTCGTATGTAGAGGGAAATGTGTTTTTTTGCGTGTGTGGAAGCGTAAGAATCAAAGGTAAACGAAAGAGAGATTGGGATATGTTGATAATTGAGAAATAAAATAAAATAATAAGACTAATGAATTAAATGATCAAAGGTTATCAGCATTGGTTTTGCTACTTTCCACTTGTTGAAATGTTTATTGATCCCGATTATTTCTTTAACTACCTCTTCATGAATACTCACTCATGAAGTATTTTCAATTCACAAAGGATAACTATTAATGATGAGGTGTTCATTTATAACCCTTACAATTATCCAAGTATAGAACAAGTGTGACACCGCACCCGAACGTCCTTGAAAATTCAATTAAAAATTAAAAGTTTATTTATTGAATTTTCAATTCCCAAACAATTGTAAAACGATTAATGTTTTACGTAATTAATGATCGATTATTGTATTGTTCAAACTCGTACATTAGTGTCGGGCCTGCAAATACTCATTTGGGCCTTATTAATGAATAAAAGAGCCCAACATTATCTAAATAATGATACATAACCTTTCAAGACAAGTTGAGGAAGGTTGGGCAGCCCAAACATTATTTTGGGCCCAACCCGCTAAAACTAGTAAGTATTCAACAATGGCGTCCTTGGCCCACTCGAGGGTGACCCACACGGCTTGTAGCCTAACAATGTGAATAATAATGTCACAAATAAGTGTTAAGATGATTAGAGACGAATACAATTGCCCATGGTCCCATCTTTGACATTATTGAGCCAAACAATGGGAATAGGTGTTCTTCTATAATTTTCATCACATGAATTATTGGGATGATCCTACACATATTGGGAATCAATAATATGATGTAGGAAGTTGACTTGTTCTAAATAAATTAGGATGAGTACAAAGAGACATCTTTTAGCAAAGGATAAAATAATAGGACTCATCTTCCCATTTTTGGAAGTATTGGTAGATATTTTGGACCCCAAATTAATTGGGATCACTTAAAGAACACTCCACACCTTCTTGGCACCTGCAAAATAAAGAGAATGGGTTAAAATTTATGTTTGGGGCGGACAAAAAGAGAGGGGGCTGAACAAGACATATTTGGGAACCAAATGGACCCTCTCCTCATTTTGATTGAATGTATCTTGCTCCATCATCCCACATGCCAACTCACTCTTACCCATTGACCTTTGAGGCTAAGTGAGGGACAAGATAACACTCCCACAACCCCCCATTCGCACTCCCAAAGATAATATAGAAGGAGAGAGCCACATACTTCAAGAGAGAGGTGAAGAAAGAAGCTGGCCGCAGATTCGTTTTCCAGTAGATAGGGTTGCTTGTTTGATCCATAACTTGAGATTTATGCGTCCAATAAAGGCGTGTGAGATACCAAAAGAAATATCTCAAGACTAGAAATCCGTGAAGGTCTGGTTTGCATCAATCAGAGTAGTGTAAAGCTTCCAAATCGTCCGAGAAAAACACAACCTCGCAGAAACAGATTTACTCTTCTAAAGTGAGTTTTAACCTCAAAACCTTTCCTTTCATTTTCCAAATGATATGAAAGATTTGTGGAACTATTATACAGTACTACAAGTGTATAATATGTCCTTATAAAGTTATTTTATTGAGGTAAAGGTTAGATACTAACCTAGAGCAAATCTTGGAAAAACTAGGAAACGAGTTCGCCGGAAAACAGCCATTCTAGGGGCTGTTTTTGTATCAACGTTTAGGGGTTGAGCTAGCACTTTGAGGAGGCTGTTTAACACCCATACTTAGGCAAGGAATCAGTTCTTAATCCACCTTGACCGAAGCTTTGACCATTGAATCAAGAAGGAAAGGCTTAAAGCTCAATTAAGGTGAGGATTGACATGTAATTGCTTACAACTTGTAGGTTAATCATGAGATTACCTAAATGCCTAAATCATAATTTTTCATGGATTATGATGATTAAATATTGATGAAATATTGATATAGTTTCCAAAGAACGAAATTGGAAGTGATTTGAAGTTGTATGAATAATAAGAGATTAAGTGAGTTATAAATGAACTATTTTGTGAAATAGGCATTTTACTCATGTATGAATTATGAGGATACATAAATGGATATTTATGTATTGAGATTGAATACTTAAGTTGCTGCTACATAATTATAAATATGTAGAGAATTACAAAATGAGAATATTTGTATGATAACAATAATCTTAATAGTATCGAAATACTAGTTAGTGATTATTGGAAATTGTTGATAGAATTGATCCTAGAGATTGGATTGTATGAAATGCACTTGAATACACTTCAAGTGTATATAATGACTTAGTATGAAACTAAGGTTAGGTTATGGTCAGTCTTTAAGGATGACCCATGGTAGTTTATTGATATGTCAATTCTAGGCATAGGTTTGCTTAAGAATTGGACCTTGGTGCATGGTGATGTGATAGAGCCGAGCTCTAGAATGCATGGTAAGGTGGTAGACTTGTAGTCTATGTATGGTGTAACTAGAGCCGAGCTCTAGGGCTTGCGTGGTGATGTGATTGAGTCGAGCTCTAGAACGCAAGGTAAGGAAATTGACCCAAGTGACATGAATTGTATGGTGATGTGATAGAGCCGAGCTCTAGAATACAATGTCAGGTGTTAGGGTTGGACTCTATGAGTTGTCGTGGCTTATAGTCACCGGGGATGGGAATGGTGATTTCTAAATGAACATGGGCCCACGGGCCGACTACTTGACTTTTATATAAAGTGAGTATATTTTCAAACGGGATTACTTAGGGTTACAATCATAATGTACTTTCACCCTATTTGAGGGTCTTGTGTTTGAAATACTTGTTGTATATCTATTAGATGCCTGCCACACCAGTACTTTATAGCTGTATAGAGTACTGACCCCTTCAGGGGCGTCCCACCACCATTTCAGGTTGAGCCTCGAGCTTGCTACCTGTGCCCGTTGCTCGGGTGATCCTTTGGAGTGAAGACGTGGTTCGTGCCTTCTCCATTCTGTTTTGAACAATATTAAACATGCTCATGAATATTTTACTATAGAGCCTGCGTGCTCATGAATAGCCCTGTGTGGCCCTTTTGTTTTAAACAATGTTTTCCACTGCGTTATGAATTACTTATTATGTTTGTTTATATATGTTATGTGTGTGAATGATATTCAAGATGCCTTGAATAATATGAATGTGTTGGACTGTGGTTGACTATTCGTATTGTACGACAGGTTGTTGACGTGTCCAGGGAGGTCCGGGGCGTGACAACAAGCACTACTAGAAAATTGTCTTATAGTGACACTTTTATAGTGGTAGTTTTAGAAATTAGTCACTAACAGATGCATTAACAAAGCAACACTTTCTGATGACAGCTCTTGGCTGCAATGGCTGGTTTCGAAACAAGAGCTATCATCAGAAAGTGTTGCTTTGTTAATGCATCTGTTAGTGACACTAATTTCTAAAAGTGTCTGTAAGACAGTTTTCTAGTGGTGTATATCTTGACCAGGGAATAAAAAAGCACAAAACAGTGCCATATACTCCCCAGCAAAATGGTATAGTTGAGCATATGAAGAGAACTTTGCTTGATAAAGTGAGAAGCTTACTTGCTACCTCTAGCATGTCTAAGAAATTATAGAGTGAAGCAGTTAGTACTCTTGCCTATTTGATAAATAGGTCCCCTTATGTTCCTCTAGGAGGAAAGTGTCTTGAACCTGTTATGTCTGGTAAACCCGTTGACTTATCCAATCTTAGAGTCTTTGGTTGTGCTGCCTATGTTCATCAACAACTGGATAAGTTAGATCCTAGGTCTAAGAAATGTGTTTTCCTAAGGTGTCCTTATGGGGTTAAGGGTTATATAAGTTGTGGGATAGAAACCAAATGGGTTTTAAGGTAGTGATCGTTAGGGATGTGATTTTCAATGAGTCTAAGTTTCTCTGTCTGAATGTTCCTACACCAAATCAAATTCCTATTTCTGATAGTGTCCAACTTGAGGTGGAGTCTATTCCTATTGCTCTCATTCCATTATTCGATACAGATGTGAATAATTTAGATGTTACTGATGTTGAAAATACCTCCACTGCTAGTGAGGTGGATTCTTTAAATGATCATGAACTTGAATTTCATGATATACATGTTGAGTCTGATTTTCATGATAACAGTGACCAACGTAACCCGTCTATGGAGCATGAAGTTTATGATTTTCATAACTATCGACTTGGTAGGGATAGAAGTTAGAGAATTGTCAAAGAAACTTCAGATATAGTATGTCTGATTATGCATTTCACATGCATGACTATGTTTGCTCACTCTATGATTCAGACCCTAGAGTTGAATGAACCCAAAACCTATAGTAAAGCCCCGAGTTCTAAGGAGTCCCATAAGTGGCTTAGCGTCATGAAAAGTGAGATGGATTCTTTGAGATTTAATCAAACCTGGATCCTTGTTCCCAACCTCCCAACTGCTCTGTTGTAGGGTGTAAATGGTTGTTTAAGGTAAATAAAGGAAGAATCCAACAATGTGAGGTTTAAGTTTAGGTTAGTTGCCAAAGGGTTTACTCAAAAGAGGGGATAAATTATGCTCAGATATTTGCTCATGTGGTTAAGTTTACTACTGTCATAATTATGCTTGTTCTTGTTGCTCACTTAAATTGGGAAATGAAACAGATGGGTGTGACCACTACTTTCTTGCATGGTGATCTTGATAAAAAGATATACATGACCCAACCTAAAGGGTTTGTGGATCCCAAGAAGAGTGATTATGTGTTTTTTTTTTGTTTTTTAACCCCAGAAAGCAAACCACCAAAATCGGTGGGGTAAATGCCGAGGGACATTTACCGGTTTTTATTAGAGGTACAAAATGAGAGGAGGATAAGGAAGGCCTTGTATGGTCTGAAGCAAACTCCTAGACAATAGAATATTAATTTTGATCAATGCATGAAATATATGAAGTTTGCTAAATATGCTTGTGATCATTGTTTGTATTATAAGAATACTTCTTATATGCATGTGTTCTTATTGCTTTATGCGGATGATATGTTAATCATTAGTCCCAACCTTGATTCCATTGTTCATGTGCAAAGTTGTCTCTGTGAAAATTTTTCCATGAAAGACCTAGGAAATGAAAAGAGGATCCTAAGCATTAACATCATTAGGGATAGGAGCAAATCTACTCTTTTGCTAAACCGAGTTTCTTATGTGGAAAAGGTTTAAGTAAGTTTAATATGCAACTTGCTTTTCTTGTTAATGTTCCTTCGACATCTCATTTTGTGCTAAGTAAGGATTAGGGTTGTTAACAAACCGAGCTTTTATCGAACTATTCGAGTTCGAGCTCGGTTTCGAACCTAAAGAACTGAGCTTAACGAGCTTTCAAACGCGAACCCTAGCTGAGTCTTAAGTTCGAAAAATTAATCGAGCCGAGCTCGAACATAGTAGTATTCGGTTCAGTTCGAACTCGAGCCTATCGAACACCCTGAAATTATAAATATAATATATATATATAATCAAAATTTTAAATATAATTAGTATGATTTTATAAATTTAAATATGATTATTAACGAACCGAATACTTGTCGAATCATTCGAGCACGAGCCTATTAACGAGCATCACCTAAAATTTTAAATTCGGCCATATTTATCGAGTTTATCGAGCGCTCGGTTCGAACATCGAACGCCTATCGAGCCGAACACGAGCCTCATTTGTAAAGCTCGTCATTTGTAAAGCTCGTCGAGCTTCGAGCTCGAACCCGAACATCATTAATTCCTTACCGAGCCGAACTCGAGCTTTAGGTGTTCGGGCTCGGCTCGTTGACAGCCCTAGTAAGGACGAGTCTCTCAAAATTGATTCTAAAATTAATAAGATGGCTAATACTCGGCCAGACTGGAATATGGCCATATTCCAGTGTTATTGGTTTTGTCATGTACCTTATAGTCAATACTCGGCCAGACATTGTTTATGTTGTTAGTTGTTTAAGTTTTTACATGTCTAATCCTGTTATGCCTCACTGGAATGCTTCGAAATGGTTGTTGAGATGTCTGAAAGCTATTGTGAAACATGGTTTGATTTTTGCTAAGTGTCTTGATGGTAATGTGTTAAATGGCTATCAGGATTCTAACTATGTTAATGGTAGAGATAACATGAAATCTACCACCTCTTATGTTTTTACCTTGTGTGGATGCTGCATTAATGGGAAGTCCCAAATGCAACGTACTATTTCACTTTCCACTATTGAGTCTGAATATGTGGCTACAACAGAAGCTTTTAAGGGAGTTACATTACTGTTTACTCAGATAGTCAGTCTGTCAGTTAACTTTGTAAAAATCTTGTGTTTCATGATAGGACTAAGCACATTGATGTTAGGTTCCACTTGATTCGAGAGATTGTGGATGCTGGAGATATCATGCTGGACAAGATTTCATCATAGTTCACTCCCTAACTAGCTCCCTTGCGGTGACCTTCTTGCGAGTGAGGATGTCAAGCAGAGAGCTGGAATTTTTATCTTTTATTTTCTGTATTTCATTATAAACAGAGAGCCTGAATTTTTCATTAAGGGCATTTTGGTCCGGTCAAGTCCTTTTAAATCCTATGAAACGTTAGAGCATCTCTAATGTTACAATGTGTACGGTGCACACGTGGTATGAGAGATAACTACATAAATACTAGTAAATAAATTATTTCTCTCCTTATTTGAATTGTTTTGTATAGTTTTGGTAAGTTTTTCTCCACTATGTCAAGAAGACCGTCTAGATATTGACATTGCAGTTGACATTGCAGGGAAAGACTTACTAAAATTGTTTAAAATCATTTAAATAAGGAGAAAGATAATTTATTTGTTAATATTTATGTGACTATCACTTATGCTACATGTGCACCGTGCACATTGTAGCATTGGAAATGCTCTTAGACTCTTATACACGGAATTAGCCCATAAAAACGCATTCTTTTTCAAAAGACGCATACTGAACGCTACTCACTGTGTTGGCAGTTGGGCACCAAACAAAAGCTCAGGTTATAGTCTATCTTTTTGTGTCGAGCACGCTTTATAATTAAACAATTAACAACCACAAGTAGAAAAATGTTTAGTCCGAAATTATAGTTAATAAGCGATAGAAAATGACGGCTTACCATCCAGGCCTTCGTGACGTACCCGTATCACCATTTACAAACACCATACATTTTAGGTCTTGATTGGCAATGTTTTATGTCTGCTGCACTTGACAAAAAGAACAAAAAAAGTAAATTTTTGAGGTGAAATTCGTACCTTAACTACTGATATTGTTATGTTTTGGTATCTTAACTCTTAAATAAATCGAAACAGTATCATAACTATACATAAATGTTTCAATTAGCAATATTATTCAAATTCGCAATAAAAAATCTTACATAGTGATCAAACTCCATGTGTAGAGTCCACCCTACATTGATGACATGGACAAATTAAAAATAAGTGAAGTTGACTTTAAGCATAAGGAATGTAAACTTAAAATTATAGGGGTGGGTTCAAGTAAAAAGTAGTCTTCCCATGAAAAGTGAGAACAAATTTTGGCCTTCCATCACTTGAAAATGGATGGATTAGATGAACTTTAAACACAAGAGATGATTTCAAAAAATGTGCAAACATTTATACTATTAAGTGGATAATTACTGATTAAAAGTGCACTCATGCGTGTCAAAAATGATTGTCAAAATTTTCCAGCTTGTGCACTTTTTACTTTGTACCGTATTGCACTTTTGTGCTCTACGTGTACACTTTTTGACTATTCCGATGCACATTTGTCACAAAATATTTAATAAAAGTTCCCCATAATTACAAAAATGCCACCGCGTTTCCAACTTAAAAATTGATCTCTTCCATCCATTCTTTCACTTCAATGGCCAAAATTAGTTCTTATTTTTCACCTAGGAAATACTTTTTGTTTGAACCAAACTCTAAGGAATGCTATTAATAAATGTGGCCGTTTAAGATATAATACTATGGGATTAAAATTCCTAATTTTAAGGAAGAACAAAATTTATTTTACGTAGGAATTATCCCTTATTATTAGCAGGTCAATATCTATACTAATATAAAAAGGGAAAGCAGGGCACAAACCGTCTATTACCGAATTGGTCTAAAAAAACTGTCTATTACCGAATAGTTGCAACATTTCAACCATGGACCTCCATAACAGCTACGTAGTATTAAACGAACAGATAAATTAATAAATTGGTGTGACGGTTCCGCATATTAAACATGTTTAAATACCCAGCACAATACAATTCACTACCTTATCGTCGCTATTGCTTTCATACTGTCGTTTTTTCAGTCTGCCGTTAGAAGAAAAAAAGCCTTATGAAATTAGCATGCCCTGGTAAAATAAAAAAAGAGTACTGTTTAGGATTTTATTTAATGTAAAACTTTCTAGCAGTCAAACAGTTACTACGTACGTGTTGCTGCTCCCCGCTCACCGAAAGGATAAAAGTTAGTGATAAAAATCAGGTTTTTCAAAAAGTATACTTACATTTGTTTTGAAAAGTTTTTATTATTTATTATTATTATTTATGTTTCTATATCATCAAGTTTGGTCTTTTTGTATAAAAGAATTTGGTGAGTGTTTTTTTAAGTTGGCCCGTGCATCAACTATAACTACTTCCTCTTTAATTAATAGTCTCCTCGGGATTTTTTTGAGATTTGTTAAAAGAAAAAGTAGGGTAGTAAAGAGGGGGTAGAGTAACTGAAAAATACAAAAGATTTTATATTAAGAAGAGTGAAATAATGAAAAGGTAGGAAAGAGAAATTATAAAAAGTGTATAAAAATATTTTGATTGAAAAGACTTACTAAAAATGGAAATAGGGACAAATACGGAATAATAAAAAACATTCCAAAAAGGAATATACGACAATTAATAAAGAATGAACCGAGTACCACATGTCGAGTGCTATTTCTACACATAGTGTGTTTTCACAGTAACACATACAGAGTCTCTAACACACATAATCATCAGATCTCTTTTCTTAATAATCACTTGCATTCAAAATAAACATATCTTTATCATGACTTTTAAATACTTATACCGAGTATAAAATATAAAAATACTATTGTCCCGTGCATCGCACGGGTACGATACTAGTATATGTTTACACGCATGCCGAGCAAAGTTAATGGGATCCTTAATTTGAGGAGAAATAACTACTTATTCATATCATTATTGTGTGGAGGACATGTGCATGACCATGTACATATACGAGCATCACATTATGAAGAAAAACTACGGATGTTTTCTTTTGGATTGTTTTCAGTTCTAGACCAGATTAGACCAGACCAAATCAGACCAGACCAGACCAAATTCTCGAGTTATAAAATACACTGAGACCAGACGTTTGCCAGATCAGACTAGATTAGACTAGAACAGACTAGACCAACAAATTTCAGTCCAAAGAAAACATTCTAATCAAATCATATAATGGGAACACACCATGTTCTTTTAGTCATAAGAATGTAATTTTCTCTACTGTTTAACTGAACTCCAAAGCCCTTTTTGTAACATTTAACCACACTAGATAGTAGATAAAGATGTGTTCAGTAGTTTTCAATTGCTCATGACAAAATCAGAAGCCATTATCAATATTCATGTACCACAAGGAATCCGTGTAGCTAGCTTATTTTTGAAGCAAAGCCAAGCAATGAACGAGAATTTAGGTTGTATATATGAGGGAATAATGGCTTACCAAACTAGGTTGCCTCATGGTATATTTATAATATAATGATAATATGGAAAGTACACTAATATCCTAAAATACACTTGGCTATTACACCCCCTCAATCTGTGCAGAAGACATGACACGCAGATTGGATTTCAAAAATTCAAAACGCTGACTAGACAAGTTTTTCGGAAATATATCAGCTAACTGAAACTGTGTAGGAATGTATTTTACAATAAGATCACCATGAGCTACCCGTTCCCTGACAAAATGATAATCAATTTTGATGTGTTTGCTTCGATCATGTTGTATGGGATTCACTGCTAAATACGATGTTGAGACGTTATCACAATAGAGCTGAACTGGTTTGGGTAAGAAGAAGCCCATATCGGTAAGAAGAGATCGAATAAACAGTGTATCCTGAACGGTATAAGCAACAACCCTGTACTCAGCCTCCGTAGAAGATTTAGAGACAGTGGGTTGTTTCTTTGACCGCTAGGAAATCAGATTAGCTCCCAAAAAATAGCATCGCCTGTAGTAGAGTGACAACTATCGGGGCATCCTGCCCAGTCTGCATCTGAATATGCAACAATAAGAGACGTATCACCCCCTTTCCTCAACCACAGGCCTTCAGAAATAGTACCCTGCAAATATTTGTAGATACCCTTCACAACAAATAGGTGAGTAGTACGAGGAGCATGCATAAACTGGGAAACTAAATGTACAGCATAAGTAATGTCCGGTCTGGTAATGGTCAAATATTGTAAGGCACCCACCATGCTGCGGTACTCAGTACCATCGGCCAAAAGTTCTCCATCAGTCAGGGATAGAGTGGTACGAGACGGAAGAGGGGTACAGACAGGTTTAACAGTATGAAGATGAAAACGACGCAAGAGATCGGAGATGTATTTTTGTTGTGACAAAAACATCCCCTTAGAGGTGTGAAGCGTCTAAATACCCGAAAATAATGAATTTCACCCAAGTCTTTCATAGCAAAAGTGTGAGACAGCGTAGAGATAAATGAAGAGACTATGGATGAGGAATTTCCTGTAATAAGTATATCGTCAACATATAGAAGAATATAAATAGAGCAAGAATTATGACGATACACAAACATAGAGGAGTCAGACTTACTCTGTGTAAAACCATGAGTGAGTAAGAAACCACTAAACCTGTGAAACCAAGCTGGGAGCTTGTTTAAGACCATAAAGTGCCTTACGTAGCCGACAAATATGGTGAGGAAAAGAGGGATGAACAAAACCTTGTGGCTGACGCATATAGACTTCTTCAGTGAGATAGCCATGTAAAAAAGCATTTTTAACATCTAACTGACGGACACTCCAACCAAAGGAAGTAGCGAGAGACAGTAAAAGACGAACAGTAGTGGGTTTAACCACTGGACTAAAAGTCTCAGAAAAATCCACTCCAGCCTGCTGTTTGAACCCTTGAGCTACTAACCGGGCTTTATGACGCTCAATTAACCCATCAGAATTATATTTAGTTTTATAAATCCACTTGCATCCTACCACATTTTTGCTAGGGTGGTAAGGCACTAAATCTCAGGTCTTATTAGCGATTAGTGCATTAAAATCCTCAGTCATGGCTGCCCGCCACTTTAAATTTTTATTTGCTTGTGAAAAACACGTAGGATCCGGGGGACACTCACTAGCCGTAAGGGAGAAAATGTTTTTGGGTTTAAAAATATCATACTTAGCCCGTGTGCGCATGGGATGAATATTATGAACTGGGGGAGGAGAAGGGGCTGGACTGGTGACGTGCACTTTGTCGTGTGTGCACTCAAAATAAATTTCAATACTAGCACTAATACGTAGTATAGCGTAGTAGAGTTCGTATCCACAGGGAAAGGAATAACTCTTCTTTTTATGTAACTAGTAAGTAAAGGGGGTTTTTGATTGTTGAGTGATTTAATTAAATTAAACACGAAGATGAACGAGTTATATGGGATTTAATTCAAAGATAAAAGTGACTTGGCATTGCTACTTTCCACTTGTTGATATATTTTAGTCGATCATTGTTATATCTATAACTTATCTCCTCTCGAATACTCAATCGAGGAGTATATCCAATTCATCGAGGGTAGTTATTAACAATGACCGTTCATTAATAACCCTTACTATTAGTCAAGTATAGAACAACGCCATATACCGACTTGATAGTAGCATTTAATCTTTTAACTCCTTGATGAAATCAATTGAGATTGATAACCTCAACACAACGGTTTCGGTTTAACCAACAAAATTAATCCCTCTTAAGTTTATTAACCACGACCGTGCATTAATAAACCGAAGTTACTTACTTGTGAAAC